CCGCGACTCGAATGTCGCGTCTGCACGAGGAGCGCGCCAAAGACCAGCGCATCCCGTGCAGCCGAGCTCTTTGAACATGAAACTTACTCCGGGTATCTGAGAGCTTTAATAAGGCAGACCGTGTTGCGCGCGTAGTTCGCGACGGTACGGGCAACGCCCATCTCATCCCTATTTCCGCGCTATCATCCGGTGCGAGAGGGAAGGTGGTCTATCCTTGCCCTGGCTTTTCGCCCTCGTTTGCGCGCGATTCGTCTCACGAACCAGCTAACTCTCATCTGATGCCACGAACCTCGGTGGAATTCGTCGAGAATAATTTGCGTCGGTCTATCCTGATTGCAGCGCAGAAAGCGTCGTTATACTCACGTTTAAGCGATAATTTGTCGCAAATTGTGTAAAAAAAAAAAAAATTCGCGCCAACGAATATGCACTCGCAGGGAGACATAAGGGCGCGGAACGATATTTCGTTTATTCGATATCGAGAAGAAAATAATTTGTTACGCGAGCGTGACGCTCGCCGGCATCGGCCGCTCGTGGCGATCCAATTACTCAAGGCGAGCATTATTCGCGTAAAGCGACGGAACAAATTATTGTTATCGTTACCATCGTCGGGTCTAATCTACGTGTAGAATTGATCCACCCTCGGGACTCGCCCTCTTACCCCTTCCGTCCCGTCGCAACTATTTGTCTAAGTCTCGTGCTTTCCTCGCGCGCGCCTCATTATCGCTCGTATAACGTGAGGAAAAGTCGCATAATCGCATAATGGCCGCTCGTCTAAAACTCATTAGTTTCTTTAGTCCGCATAATATATTGGATACTTATGCAACAGGATTCAAATAATTAATGTGGAAAATGGCAATCGGCGAGCGCCTCTCGCGGAACCGCTTAATAAGTTTAATGTTTACTTAAAGTTCACCTAACTTCGGTCCTTATGAAATGGCATTTGGCGCGTCGAGCCCTACTAGTCGCCGACTAATTAAATAAATCAGACAAGAGTCTTAACTATATCGACACACCTGCGAGAGATGTCGCGAGCAATAATGATTTGTCTGTGAATTTTGACTTCCGACATATCTGTATCCGCGAAGGCATCCGATACGCTACTCGCGAATAATCCGAAACGTGATATCTGAGACGTTACGTCGGTTATAAACGGCATCACAATTCGTGAAACGTAATAGCTGGCACGGAGGGTGGGCGGCAAGGGGAGGAGGAGGAGGAGGAGGCTTTAAAGATATATCGCGATTTTACACTGTCGTTGCGCCGTGAAATGCGATACGGCTTTCGGAGTTTCTGTAAATAACGGGGACGCGAGAAATCCCGTGTGCGCCATTTCTCGCGCGCGAATCAAATCCGCGTCGCGACAGGCGCCCGTTATTTGACTTTTAACGAATTACCCGTTCGCCGACCAGCGATCTTGACTATTCCTAAATCATACTCGTGAAACGATGGATTGTACATGGTGCCCCACCCCCCCATCTCTCATTCAATTTAGTTTACGTGCGCAAATTTCGTGAGAAAGGTGCTATCTTTGAATTTTTTGAGCTGCATTGGATAAATGTCAAAATTTGTTCTCAGAAAGAGTTAATGTCAAACTATTTTCTCAAAAAACAACGTAAAATAAAACTGTATTACTAAAGATCACTTTGTAAAACCTCCTACGAAGCTACTGGAAATAACACAGGAATTTCTAAATTATAAGACGACTGAATCTTCAAAGTATTCTGTTTACTCCGTTTATTACACTGGTTCAATACGTCTAACCGCATTTCCGCCCAGTCATTTCACTGGCAAAGTCTTCGGACGGCGAAAGAAAGAGAGACGAACAGCGGATACGATACCTTGCGCCGTAATCCGCCGTACTCACGAAAGAAACGGGATGTCGCGTGTCCCCGGTCGCAAAAAAAAACCCTGACCGGACACGCGCACGCCGGCAACCTGCTCGGCCGAGAAACCCTGCCGGAGTAGCATACGTGACCGTATGGTGGCCGGAAGATCCGCTGGGGGTGCGCGAGAGGAATAAGCAGAGAGGGGAGACGGACTACCCAGGGGGACATATGTCGGGGACACGTAATTCGCCGACCACGCCTCAATGATCGTGCGGCACGCACGCGGGCGTACGCGCACGCACGTACACGCGCACGCCAGGTCCGCAAGCCGCCCGCGCGCGTGCGACTTGAATTCGATTAACGCAAAGGGACCCTGCTACTCCGACGAGTGGCGACTCGGGGTGCCTCCCGCCACCCTCGTCGAAGAAGAGAAAAAAAAAAGAGAAAAGAGCACGAGGGAAATCGCAAAGATAGATTCCCATGCGAGTGTGAGCTAGAATTAACCATAGGGTCAGAAATAGGCGCAACTAAACCGTGGATCTGTCAATATCAAGTAGAATCAATTTTTCCTGCTGCGAAGTTGATTCTATTATCTTCTTACAATTAGCCTAGTTTAGACAATTTAAAAATCATTACTCTTTGCGTGAAATAAACAGGGTCGAATTGTAAATACTCAACGCTGCAGAGTGATTACTGAACTAGATAGACCGAGAGTGGAAGGCTGCCGCTGAAATTACGACGAGTAATAAGCTATTTTGCTGGTATTATCCATTAAAAGCCGTAGATTTAGCCGTAAAAGGAAACACGGCAATAGTACGCCCGCCAGAAATTGATGGGCATTACGCTAAAGTTATTTTCGACCAAAAATTGGTATCGTAAAAAGTTAATGAGCGTTGGGCTACATTATTTGCAGCGCAGGAATAATGGCGCGCATAATTAAACGTGCAAACAGCGAACGAAACCTCGGAAAATCAATTTGGTGAAAGCACCAACTTGTAAATGCCACCGATAATCTCCATGCTTTGTGTTGCGCTATATAACAAGGTATAGCCACCGATATGTATATATACATATGTATATATATATATATATATAAATATAGATATATATATGAGTATTTTAATAACAGACACTCTAAAGGCCAAACCAAGAAGAAAGCGGTTGGTGTCGAGACACTGATAATTTGCAAATCATAAGCATTCACTATTTTTTAATTACTTGTTACAGAAATTAATTACAGAATATAGGATTCGTAAACTACTATCTTGAATCTACCTCTACATAACAGAGAGTTACAAATTGGGAAGGTATATAATTGGTAACTGATTTGTCATATATCCCGAATGTGGTTTGCGAAAGTCGATAATAATGAGAAGAGATGGAAAACGATAGGTATACTCGGTGTTTATTATTGGTGTGTAATCCGTGAGAAATGTAACGAGTGCTAATCACTTATATAACTGTTCGTTCGACCACTGTGCACTGTGAAAATATACGAGTGTTATTTCTAGTCATCATGTAGTTCATACATGTATATTATCTATGGCCGATGATAAATTCGGCGCTTTTAAAAGGGAATGTAATGAGATAATTGGCTGTGGACCCACTATTCGGAATCATAAAATTTTCATCGGCGTGTTCCAAGCCGGGAAAAGTTTTACCCGATTCGATAGATTAAAAAAAAAATACAACATCGTAAAAAAGAAATTCGTACTGAATAAACGACCACAGGCTAAGTGCATCGTAAACTCCACCGTTTGCCTCTCTTATTTCCGTCACCGTTTCCGCATCCTCTCGCTTCAAAAGCGGGCAATTAAAGAGAAGAGTCGCGCGAGGGGAAAAAGGGAAAGAAACGACGAGAAATACCTTCGCGCAATATTGCACGTAATGCTCGTGACTGTAAAAAAACTTGGTTAGTTTAAAACAAAAAACGCGCTCGGGAAAATCGCACGACACTCTGGTAAAATAATATTGTTGTTGCTTTTAGGAAGCGTCCTCGTGCGACGATGATTAATGGCCGCCCACGACAATGGGTAGACGTCAGCAGATACGCGTGAAACCACGGCGTTACACGTGAATGTCGGCACGTGCGCTATTGTTAGGGAAATAGACTTGAATGGTGTGTTAAACAAATTTCACTCGCGAACGAAATATCCGACAGGGATGAAAAGTTGCGCCGTGCAAGATTCTATACCGGCGACAAATGTGATTTATCCCGCAACGATAAGCTCGTACGTCGTAATACGGAGAATCTCGGTATTATCATGTCTAGGACGTGGGAGACCTTAAATTTGCGTGAAGAAAATTTTTAAGAGAAATTTGCGTGAAATATTAAGTGCGCATGTATCGGCATCGTTATGAGAAGATATATTTAATGACAGATTTGTACAAAATCTGGAAAAAAAACGTTCAATTTTATATTTAAACTGTTAAAAGGTTTGCAGCAGCATATCGTGCGGAAAGAGTGACCGTTTGAAAACTTTCGCGAGTACAGAGTACACGGGTATTTATATAGCCGCTCGTATGACGGAAAACCGTGTAATTAAAATTCGCGTTATCCTCCGCCCGCGCGGATCCTGAATTCTACTTCGTGCCAGAAGACCTATGTGTACATAAAAAGTTTGACAAAAGCAAATGGGTGCCGCTTTTGTGGCCGCATTATACCGTAATGCAATATTACTAGGACCAAACTTTTTGCGAAACGCTACGTGCTGGCACAGCTTACTCACAACATTTTTATACGTCAGATAAGTAGCGCCAAACAATTAAACTAATTCCGTATCCTTCATTTTCACCACCCACCCGCTAACTTTACTTCCCAACCTCACCAACCTGCCACTTTGATTGTCACGTAAAGTATTTTGTTCGATTCGATCGTTATTGAGTTAGCGAAAAGAGTCCCTTTCAGGAAGAATAGACGTTTGACATTTCTCGCGACGTGAGACATGTCGTCGATGTCGTCTCCGCGATTTTCGAGAAGGAAGAAATCGCGCGATCCCCGAAATCGGAGATACGATCTCTCGCCGTACACAGAGAGATACCGCCGAAAGTCAAGGAATGACCGGGTAACAGGGCAGAGATCGGGAGAACGCAAAGTAAGACATAATTGCGCCATAATGGGGAAACGAAGAATAAGAATAAAAGAAGATGAAGGATGCCGGGCAACACACTGACCTTGAGCACGGACGACGGTGAGCAGGCCGGCGAGGAGAACGATCGGATGGCACCGCATCATCTTTTTTCACCTTCCTTCCCACCTCGAGGCTACTTCCACCCGGCCGTCCTCCAGCTCGTCTTCACTTTCCTCGTCTCTTGCCGCACGCGTAGGTAGGTTCGCTTTCCTCACGCAACCCAAAAAAACAAACACACTGCTATTACGCCCTTCTTGTTTTTTTTCTCTCTCTCTCTTTCTCGCTATCCTCGCGCGACGTCCGGTCTTCCTCGCGTGCCGATCACTCGATGGTATTTCCTGCGAACCGCTCGCCACTCAATCGCCGTTTAACGTCACGAAAGATCCTGCGTTCAGCACTCATATCACTTATCCCTCGTCCGCTCTTCGCGAGAGATTGACTCTCTCTCTCCGCGCGAAGTCTAATCACGGATCTCCGCGAATTCTCTTTTACGATAAGAGTGTCTCGTATGAATCACCGTCACCCGTTCACTGATGACCCATTCGCAGATCTCGTCGGTGACCCGCTCCCTCGTTCTAGAAATTCAAAAAACGAGGGTTGTTCGAGTTTTCGCTAAACCAATGATTTGCGAAAACAGTCGCAACAATGCGGCTTTATCGCAAAGTGGTCACGGGATCTCGAGCACCGCGCGCGTCTTTCTCTCCCCCGGTCGAATCTATCCTATTTCCGTATCTCCGACGAGGAGAGCTCGGACGCGGCTCCGGATTCGCGCTCCGATTCAAACGGGGATTTCTCGAGCGGAGCGCGAGATGTTAAAGCGGCGGGAATGGAAGCGGAAGGAATCGCGACGAAGATATCGTCGAGGATAAGGGGAGCAGTGGACCAGAGCACCGGGCAAACTCGATGAAACGAGGGGAGGAAAACTTGCACGAGGGATCAGCCGCGCGACAAACTTCCGCGGGCGAGGAGCGCTCGAGGAGCTGATGGAAGAAGTAAAGAGTCAACGTAGCGGCGATCGAGAGATCGCTATTTCTCGCCTCGAAGCGAGGGCTCAACCTGCTCGTCGTACCCGCGGGAAAAGTGGGATATACTGAATACGCCTCTAATGATCAGCCCAACGTGAATTCATTCTGCTATACATCGCCGATCCCTCCCCTCCCGATCCCTCCTCCGCCCTCACGCACCTCCCTCGTTTTTCTCGCATCGCTGGTCCTCTCGCACGTTTTATCGCGCGGCGAGCGCAAAGAAAGGCGTGCACGCGTCACGGACGCAGGTAGATCGTTCCTCTCGGCTTCATGATCCTCTCGGCCGTCGGTGATCGATGGAGAACTCGGAGCATATAAAAGAATGTGTGCCAGGTGGTGGCCTGCCGTCACAGGAATGCAACGCTACGCGATACCGTGCCGTCGTTGCGGCAGACCGTGAGTTCGAATAACACTTTTACGAGGTTTTCGAGGCTTCCCCCAGGAAGCTCCGCTCAGGACGATAATTCGCTGATCGCCCGGTACTGTCTTCCCCAAACTCCCCCGATGCATTCCGCTACCGTCTTCCTCGCCCTCTCGCCACTTTCAACGGCACTCAACGTCTCCGCTCCGCAGCGTAGACGTAATTGAATAAAACCGCTAAGTGATTAATTGCCGGAGCCTCCATGGCGCTCTTCCATACCGCCTAGCTTAAACTTCGTACTCAAGTTTAAAAGATCTCGAGCTCGGGCAACTTTAAAGAATCCGTGAACAGAGCGGCCTGTCCCAACTGGCCTGATAATCCCGAACTCCCGCGCCATCGACCCTGCACCGGATATTCGGAATATTACGATATTAGACGTATCTCAAAGACGGTTCGATGCTAGAAAAAAGATAATATAGCAAGAGATAAATGATAATTTCGTAATGCATACGAATTGCGCGTAAAAATGAATCCATTTTTGAGAAGTGCTCGAGAAAACATTGTAAAGTGTCTGCTTTATATTTCAAGGGCCGAATATTGCTTGTAGAAAAATATCCCGCGAAACCGTATCCCGCGCTTTGGTTGATAAATTACAGTTTTGTGGTCAGACAGATCGATCGATAAAGAATTGCGATGAAACGTTTTCTCGAAGCTACGTCATTTTTGTACGAATTACCAACTTCCTTTCTTCGTAGAGAGAATTCCAACGATATTGTTATTGCTTCTACTACATTTGGATTGTTTGTCGAACTATAAAAGTCGCATTAATACAACGCGAAAACAGTCCATAGTCCTGTAGACGTTGCTTATTGAACTACGTTACTATACGCGAAGACGTAGACCTCTTGGTAGCCGTAGGAATAAAATTACGAACGAATAGAATCGATTTGTGAATGCTTTCATCTTTCTACTTTCTTTATAATTTTAAAATTCCAACTCGAGAGAATGCTAACAGTAACAACACGGAATTTCCACGAGCATCTATTTTTTTCAGTCGAAATTTTCTCGGCAAACAGCACATCTGGTAGCATCCTGTTCCCGGTAAGATACCCTCCCCTCCGTTGCGGATGTTATGGTTTCTCGCGCGTTCAAACATTCAATACATCACTCCACAGGAGAATCTAATATATATATATATATATATCTCTCTCTCTCTCTCTCTCTCTGATATATGATTTCCTCGTAGTTGACTCTAACGTAAAAGTATAAGTAAAATGCCTTTAAAAATACTCGAATGCAATAATATTAATAAAGATAAACAAATATCACGAAAGGTGAATTGACGTCGATGAATCTCACACGACGATGATACCATTCGCAATTTCGATCTCGGTTTCCTCGATACATCGTACGAGTTGTTTTTCTTCGACGAAAAGTCCGATGGAAGTCGGTTCCGCTTTAATCGTGATATATGGTCCAACTTACGCTATTAAATCGAATTTACTTATACGTCTCCTCACGTTTTAGGCCGGGAGAGTTTTACTAGTTTAAAACTTGTGCCGACGAACCGTGGGTGGGGGATGCGTACCCGTTGGAAAGTAGGATCCAATGAATTTATCGGTTTTCGCAGAAGTTAAAAGTCCTGGCGGGCCGATAAGTAATCTCACTGACCTTGCGGCAAGAGATGAGATTGCATTCTTTCCTCTCTTTCTCTTTTCCTTTTTTTTTTTTTTGTATCGCGCGTTAATTGACGTTTCCGCGAGAAACGTCGATTCCTTTCTACCGCCTCGTTTCCTCACGGTTTTGAACTCGTCAGTTCGTCAGTTTTCCTTTTTTTTTGCGTTTTGTTCCACGTTTGAAAAGCGGATAGCTTCGCGCTCCATCGCCCGGGGGCAATGTTCGCCGTACGAGGAAGGAGCCGTTGCTAACGATAACGTTTCATTGTAGCGCCTTCTCCTCGCCTCGGAAGGTCTCGCGACACGTCAGCTCCAATTTGTCGGCGAAAGAGCCGGGAAGCTCGGGGGAGAAAAATCGTTAACTATCCGTTTCACGGTTAGAAGCTGGGAGCCACCGCGACAAATCAAATTTGCTAATAGGGCTCGGCAAGCCCCCTCCCCCCGCCCGAGTCTGCGGGGGAATCAACTCGACGCAGACGATGCGGAGTACGTGTGACCCCGTGCATCGGATCGGAGGGTCACGAGGAACGTCGCCGTCGCGTTAACTGAAAACGCTCGTTAAAACGCGCTCATCAGCCTCCGCAAGCAGGGGGATTCGCGTTACGATTAACTAAACGCGTATATCGGCGGGGGGAAAAACGCGTTCGCGACACTAACGAGAATACCTATCGTACGCGAGATTCGGCGTGCGAACGCTTTTGCGGAGCTCCAAAATACAAATTTTCGTTGACTTTCCCTCATTTTTGAGCCGGAATTTTTGTAAACTGCACGCCGCGGGACACCAAAACCTAGCGACAAACGCAGCCCGGAAATGTTTGTGAAACGGTGTTTGACGCGGGCTGGATTAATTAAACGAATATCAAAAAAAGCACCCGCGTAATTATCGCGGAAAGGAGGCTTTAAACGAGGACGAAAAGTGAAATTAATCAAAATGATGGTCAAAATTCCGCGATTAGGCCAACGAAGTGGTCAAATGGTCCATTTAAAACACGTAACTTTCAATTCTTGCACTGATTTTCCGTTGAACAGGAATTGATAATCGGAACTCTAAAAATTAGTCGATTCAGGTCTTCGCTCTTGGATTTGCGTCTTGAAGGGATTCTCCTCTGCGAGTCCGCTGTATCTAGCGATTTGGAAGACCGTCGTGCTCCGTCGTGAAGAAAATTGGAAAGTCTCATCGATATCGGACGAGTACCGCTCGTTAGAAGACCCCCGCGAGCCCCCATTCACTAAGCTACGTACTTCATCTATCATTCAGCCGGTTGTGCTATGTTTACTTAGCAAAAACACCTGTCGGCACCTCCCGTCGTTCTTCCAGACCGGCGGTGGAAGCGACATCGACGCCGATCGTTTCGCCGATGAAAACGACGAGAATCCCGGCCGGGGGGCAGCCGGGACAGGCCGGGACGCGGATTCCAATCACCGAACGGCCGGCCGATAAAAAGCCGCGGAACTCGTTAAAGCCACTGCCGACGTCGCCGCGCGACTGCTCCAATCCGATACGCGGGCGGATCGTCGTCGAATAAGAATCGAAAAAGCGAGAAAGAGAGATCGGGACGAAGGGAGATGCAATAATCTCGGAATCTCGGCTGGAAAAATCCCCGCGATGCTCCGGGAATCACGTCACACCGTGACTATCGACCTTTCGTGATTTACAGCGGCGCTGGGTAAAAGGTGAGCCGAGAGAGAGAGAGAAGGGGATGCAGCCGACGGAGAAAAGTCAGAACACGACTTTTCATCGTCGACGATGGATAGGGGTCGGGGAGGGGAGGAGAAGGAGCAGGGAAGAAAAGGGAACGACGTGGCCCCGGCGAGAGAAAGACGCCTCGAGACCCCGGGACTCCCCGCGGTGGCGGGCGATCCCGCTTTTAAAATTCGACACCGACCACCTTGCAAATCCTGGAGCGGTTTACCGTAGCGGTTTCCCGAGGCGGTCGTCCGCGGGGGGACGGTGCAAGAGGGGCGACGGGGATGAAAACCTTTTTTTTCCGCGCGCGCGTTTACGATTTCGCCGGCCGAACAATTCCGCCGCGAAAGATCGACCGATCGATCGCTCGTTCCGCTCGCTCGCGATACGCGATGAGAACCGGGGGACCGTGTTACAACACCGCGCGCGCGTTATATACACGGCACGCACGAGACACGCGTACGTTCGCCACGATCGCGGGCTCGGCACTGGCGCGCGGTGGCGCCCGGACTTTTAGTTCGTGGCGCTACCGAGCAGCGTCGCGACGCCCGCCGGCATCTCGTCTCTCTCTCCCCCCACCCCGCTGCCTAGGGAGCGGCGACGTCCACCCGGCGGCGCAACGGCTGGCCGGGGGCCCCACTGTGAGTGTGAGTATCCCCGTTGCCCGTGCCCCCCCCGGTCGACGATGCCCGCGATAGGTACCCCCGGCGCACGTACTGTCAATCAAAAGAACGCGAGATAGCATCCGTGGATAAAGGCTGTCAGTTCGCTTTATCTGTACTTTAGATAATGAAATCCCTAACTTCATTTTCCAGAGAAAATGTGCAATTATTCTGACGTCGATTAAGATATACATATATGTACCTACATATATGTATAAACAGTATGATAATAGAAATTTACTCCTTTTAATTGTATTTTTTGCAGAATCTGTGCTGTTTTACAATTACTTTCTTTCTTGGCTTCTGAAAGGTTCTAAATATAAAAAAATCATCAATTCAAACTGTTACAATCGATAGTTTAGATACGCTTATTTATAGTTTACTAATTATAACACTCGTCTGCCGTTGAAAATAGTTTTGATTCTATTTTACTCTATTTCTATTTTAGTATACTCTTCTAATTGCAGGTAAAATGCTTTCGACGAACATACACATTTTCTTTGGCAACAATAACAAGTTAGAAATATTGCCACAAATCTCTGTTATGCAAATCGAGAACTAAAATGAGAATATGTAAATGTTTGAAACATATCTTAATAATAATGTACTTTGTATACAAGTTCTTCTTCACTCTGAGAGGAAAACATTGAAAGAATCATCGAAATAATAAATGTGCTGGTAAATCAAATTCAGCCAGCCACGTTATTTTCAATTTGACGTCAACTTTGACATATAACTCGCCGAGAGTTCAACTCAATTTTTCGTTTATACTAAAATAGACCGCTAAACGTTGGTGAAACGTTTCACGTACGTGAACACCGTGTCACGTAAAAGGAAAAAACAAGAAAGACAAAAAACATTATAATCTGCTTGAAATGCCACCGCCTCCACTACCCGAATATATACATATACGCTACACGAGATCCATTTAAATTACGTAAAGCGGGAGATCTCGTAATCTCGATGTCCAAGACTAGTCCTGCGCCTGGTCTCCTAATTAGTCTAATCGCTCTATAAAACAACACATAGATGTTACGACTCTGTATATACAAATGAGAGAGAACCAGAAATACGTGGAATTTCACATGAAAAGTAGGTTGACGGATATCAAACGAATTATGATTGAATTGCCACCGTCTCGTCGTAAGAATAATAAAAAAAAAAAAAAAAAGAAAAACAGTGCGTTATTATTAGCCATCGTCGATGGTGCGCAACCGTTCTCTTTTTGAATAAATAACAACAGGAGCATGAAAAAAAGGGAGGGCTAACCGCGATATGACGTTAAAAAATATCAAAACAAAAGGGTGCTGTTTCGCACGTCACGCCCTTTATATCTGCAATTGCGTTGCCATGGTAAAGGGAAGCTTATAGGATTTCTCGTTTCTATCACTGGTTTACTATAGTTTCCAGTTTCCCCCACTGAGGGTGGAAGAGCGGTAAGCAGCTCTTTTTCCGATGCGCGGCTCTTACCGAGCTGAGATGGAGCCTTTCAAGAACATCTTGTCGAACGTCTCAGCGACCATGGGAGTAACTGGGAAGAGGAGGAAGGAGAAGAAGAAGCGGGAAAGAAAATAGCGGTGAAAGGGGACCGGAAGAAGAATCGCGAGAGAGGTGAGAACGAGGCGCGTACGCGCGTACACGTCAATGTCGGTAACGTACGATCGGAGGTATTTCCGCACAATTGGCCGTGATAACGCTCGCAGCGGTAACTTAGTTGTCGTCGCTATCTAACGATTCCCGACGAGAAAGATAGAGAAGATCGTGTTCAGAAATCTTACCGCGCTCGCTCCGCTGCGCCCGCGCCGCACGGCGCCCGTCGAACGTTGTTTCCAGCCGGTTTCACTTGGATGTTTCAGGAAGATTGCTCGTTGCTCATTAATTAGAGTAATTAGCGGCAGCGTGAAGAGTATCGCATATTCTTCTTCCGAATTATGCGATGCATTTGTGTGAGTTCTATTCGCTTGTAGAAACGCGATAAGTAAATTTCGAATCGCCGATCTGACAGACCGTGGGACAGCTAACGATTAATTAGGCTCTATCTTCTAAATGCAAGGATAAGTAGAAAATACACAGTAAAAAATTTAATGTCAATGAAAGTTCACTCTAAATTTTGTGTTAAAATAACTCATTCATCGTGTTACTTGTTGACATTTAGAAATGTTATATCGAAAATGCGACGCGATGCGCCAATGCGCCAATGCTAGAAATGTTATATCAACATTTTTTACAAGTTATTTTTACATTATAAACATACATTGTAAAAAATCGATCGAAGATTGTAAAGTAATGAGCGATTAAGCACACATATGGATAAGCTCGCAGTGGCTCTATAGTATACCTGCCTACAGTACCTGCGAATTAAATTCCGCAGAAAATTTCAAGAAGGAAAACACGTTGAGCGCAAATGTCCCGAGACTTGTACTTTACATGACACATTTCATATCAGGCCGCTCCTTTCTCGCCACTAGATTGCACTTGGTGGAGACGAAAGTTCCCGTCCTCTCCACGAAAGGATCATAACGGCAAAACGAGCGAAAGTAATATTGGGACAAAGCTGCAATGACTCGAGAGCAAGCCGCGTAACTGTAACGACAAACTGCACCCGCGTGGCCCCTCTAACAATTCAAGCGCACGTTTCCATTACGGCTCGTTTTTAACGACAGGTGTATTTAGCTCGACTTCCCTCGGAAGTGACGGCGCAGATAGGTAAATTATTTTTCACCGCAAAAACAAGCCAGAAATAATATTTAGACGGACGGTCATATTCTTCCTCGCGAATCGAGAGCTTAAAAATAAAAATCGAATTGAATGTCACCGACGAGTTTAATTCCGACAGCGTGATTTAATGAGCGGGTTTTCGTTCTCGATTGTGAAAAGGAACGTGCGTCATGTGTACGCGCGTATATCTAATATAATATAATTTATAATAATCTGTAAATATTAATGAAATAATTAATCGTGTGATGGAAATGTCGCGAGAACTCGAGGTCAAGTGAACCACCGACAATCGTAATAATTCTCGATAATTTTGCGCAAAACGGTGATGCACGAATCGACAAAAGTAGAATTCTCGCATAAATGGCATTGCACGGCACGAAATGAGGAATGATGGTTTCATCACCGAAGGAGTGCCTAAAGACTAGGATAACTCGTACCGACGTGTGCGGGCGTGTTACGCACACACACGCGAAGAATGAAGAATGGAAAGCCCCTATCGGACGTCAGAATTCTGAAGCAGCCAATTCCGATAACTTAAAGCGGAATGTACCAGTTCGCGTAACGCGAACTCTTTCAAGCGTCGGAATCAGTTGCGTCGAGCATTACGTACGGTCGGTATCATCGATCATCGAGGATATATAAATGATTCGAGTCAAGGCGAATTACAAACGGATTGGCCGATATTTTACTGGATCGCCCTCCGTTGTGACATATTATTAATTAGCCATTAATCGGCAAATTCCGGGATAAAGCGAAAACGTCCGATTGAATGTTTTCGGGGATACGAGGGATTGCAATATGCGGACGGCGGAATGCGAGTTACGGGTGGTAGTGGAGGGGGGGGAGCCGCTGATACGCGAGAAGCGAGAAGAGGGTGGAAAAGGGGATAAACGCAACGAGAGCGCACGCAAGCTCCAGCTGCATGCAATAAACGTGCATTAAGCCACGCACATGTGGTCCGAAACCATCGGGATTATAGCGAGAGCTAATTAACCCTCTCAAACGATCTCTCTCTCTCTCTTTCTCTCGCTCTCTTACTCTTATCGTCTATGTTGCGCCACTTCACAGCTACATACTATTTTGACAAGCTGACTAAATTGCGCGACGACTTTGCTACTCGTCGATTTCAACTTTATATAGGTGTCAGCGGCAAAAGAATTTTCAACAGAATGTTTCGTCGTTTGACAACCAAACAACGAAATTTTCCGGTTTCGGGCGCGCCACGCGAAAGTTGAAATATCCGAAAAGCGCAAGCACTTTTTGTTCGATCCGGCTCAATGCGTGTGCGATAATCGGTTGTGGTGCAGTGGCCGACTAAACGAATTGCTATCTGGCAGCCAATTGGAATCTCGATGCATCGAGTCGCCGGGCCGCATTGTTGCAGCGCAACCGTCGTCGTGGATATTCTGCCTCTCTCCACCTCTCTGCTCCCCCTTCTCTCTCTCTCTCTCTCTCTCTCTCTCTCTCTCTCTCTCTCTCTCTCTCTTTCTCACTCCCTCTCCCTCTCTCTTTCCCTCTCAATGTCCAGCAGCAACCACGATTCGGGCGGGCAGCAGGCGCGAGTAAACGCGAAGCTCGGCTGTTTGCCTTGGCGCGGTGCTCGATTAATTTCTCGAGCAAAGCCTGCGGGCTCGAAGGACATTGGCACCAATTGTTTTCGGCTTTGTCGTAGCTCGGCGTTGAGTAAACGTCCGGCAGAAACCCTAGTCCGTTTCCTAATTAAACCAGCCCTGTGAGACAATCACGTCGGGGGAAAACCGGAATGGCGAAGGACCCCCGAGGTCGCAATGATCGCATTCACCGTTTACCACTTTGACGTATTTGCCTAAACGATAACGTGGTAAAGCGAATCTAAATTTGCGTAAAACGAAAATACCGCGCGCACGACGACGGTGCAATTTAACTTTACGATCGGGGCGATTATTCAGGTTTAAGGCGACAAAAGTAATCGGGTGTTGTTACTCCCTCTGTGCCCCATAAAAGCGAAGCATTGCGGCGAACGAAATACGAACATCGTGCGGTCGTTTTATTTCATCCTTATCATCCTTTAAGGGTGCAACACTTCATAGAAGATACGCGCGCGGCACGCTTTCT